GTAATTACCATTTAATTACCTTTTTTTATTACCTTGTAATTACGTTAATAAGGTTACTGTAAAAGAAAGCGTTACCAAATAATTCATCTAACCAAATTAAGTCTTGTTCCTTTTTATGATCTGTGTCGACATCTGCCCCCAGATGAATTACCTCAGATGCTACCAGCATTATTTTTTTCATATAAAATCCATCTTTGTTTTCAGTTTCAGTACAGAGATAAAAAGAAAAGCATTTCCATAAATAGGATGCTAATGATCCTCTTTTAGCTAAGCTTTATTTTTACTAACTTGCCACTTTGTTGATCTGATTAGTTGAGTCGGTCCATCATTGATGGTAATCGACGCAGCGTTTGATCTAATCGTCTTCTAAGTATTTTCTTTAAAAYGCCTGCCCTTTTCCTGACATTTTTATGATGACTTATGATTTTTATCACAGTATATTGCTTTTTCTAACCAACCAGACAAGAAGAAGAAGTATAAATCTGAAAAATGGAAGTTTAACTATATGGTGCAAAAAAAATGTGATACTTTTTTTTTCATTACCTGATTTACCTGCTAACCTCAAACTCCGATTTTGGCTTTGAACCACAAAACAAATTTTAAAAAATCTGAATTTTGCAACATAATATGCAAAATAAAATAAAGCAGCTTTAACCTGCTCTAGAATCTAAAATAAATGACCTAATTGGCAAATGTGGGTGCTGCAGAACTAGATTTTTTTCTTTTTTGTAAAAGTCATTCACATAGTCTTCTGTAATATCTTGTTGTTGTTCCTGAGCGTGTGCCATTGTAATGTAAGCAAAGTCAAGTGACGTAAGAGGGCAAGCGCTCATCTTTAAAGAGTTTGAAAAAAAGAAAGCGGAAGCTTGGCGTCCGGAGGTGATCTCACCTGAGTATTGCTTCTTTGGCACAGCTGTCTCCAGCAGCATCCCCCAGGGAGACGCGTCAGTTGCACACGTGTGTGTTTATGTGAATGGATGAACTCTGTGAATGAAACGTCTTCTTCCTGAGCTGCAGACAGGAGGTGAGATCATCTTGTTTGAAATGAAGACTCCCCCACAACACCCCTCCCACCCACCAATGCTGTTTGGCGCCACTCTTGATAAATGTCATTGCTGGTCAGAATTGATGAGGCAAACGGTGCAGTGGTGGCAACCTGACTGATCACACCACCGGACGATTTCATCCAGCAGACAGGAAGTGATCACTGCATGGTGCATATATAATAATAATAATAATAATAATAATAATAATAATTGTCATGGACTAATTATTTACATCTGTTTCACCTTGACACTGTCCATCACTCGTATCTTACTGATAGCTCATTTCGGCTCGTAGTCTGTTTGTCAGGACTCCGCAACGGACTGAACTCTCTTGTTTGATAACAAACTCTTTGAGCTAGGAGCCCTGTCATAGGCTGGACAGTATATTTGGCAATCTGTGATTGGTTGTAAACTGTCACATGGTGTTAACATAATGTTATATGACTGGCTGTTTTCTGCTGACGAGTCAGTCACAATCGTGCAGAAATTCCTGGTTCAGTTCTGTTTGTTTGTCGCTCATAATTAAATCATATTTGATTATCATACACGCAGACTTTTCTAGCATTATTCCAACGTGTTTCTGCTTTTTGCGACGACAGAAAAAAAAAATAATAATAACAACATTATTTGTATAGCACCTTTCTAAACAAATGTTACAAAGTGCTTTACATTGAAAAATAAGTTAAACATCAAAGATAACATGAAACAAAATATACCAATCAATTACAATAAAACCAAAAACAAACAAAAAAATTATCAAATATTAAAAGCCTTATTACAAAAGTAAGTCTTAAGTAAAAATCTAAAAGAATTTATGTATGTCGCTTATATGTTCATATAAGAGCCCCAAAACATGCATGATTTTCTATTTTTGTTTGTTGATTTTAGAAATCTAAAAGATAGTTATTTTGCTGTTAGTTTCCAGTCTGGGTGGTAGAGCAGAGTGCTCATTTAAGACGTGATGATTGGTCACCTATTCAGCCGCATCAAGTGACAACGAGGAACACGAGGCTCTCGGTGAGAAACCACAACAAGGCTCTTCAAAGAGCCAGAAGCTGCCCTCCCCCTCAGCCTCTATACTACTCCCAATCACACAAATGTGCACGCACAAACCTCTCTCCTGCCACCTCCAGCCACCCCCCACCACCACCTCCCACCCCCAACCAGTCTGGGACAATCTGTGTCCCTTTGGCATTGAGCCTCGCACCTCACACTGTACGCTCCGAATTCAGAGGTATGTAGGCCCACACACATGACATTCCTCTCGACATTCCCTTCCGCAGGCTTCTGTTAATTCCCTCCTGCAGCTAATGACGCCTGTTGCCAAGCAATGCAGCACTTTACATCAGCTATTTGGATGGATGCCACCGCGTGTGTGCTGGAGAGCCGTTCTATTAGCAGTCTGAGTTTGCTTCAAGTTGACTGTAATTACAGAAAATCTGMTTCAGAGAGGGAAACAATCCAGCTTATTTAAAATTGAGCGTTGGCGACATTTATTTAAAACTATAGATGTGTGTTTGGAGGATTATGTTTAATCTGTTTCTTTACACGTACAACTCTTGTTTCTTATAGAAGCTGTGCTGGTGGACATCAGAAGCAGCTGTTCTGATCCTTAAAGCTATGAACCTCCCCGAAGAGGATCCGTACTGAAAACGCAAGCTCACATAAATAAATGATGAAGAAAGTTTTCAGAAAAAGATAGAAATAGAGGAGAACACATGGTGCTTTGTTCAGAGCGCCTGAAGTCAGAATAAGAAGAGGAGTGGTAGTTAGATGGCAATAAAAGCTGCTTATAGTTCGACTTATTTTTCATGCGATATTAAAAGCGCATTAAACATTTACAAACATCATTTTTGGGCATGGTTCTTTGAATATTATTATGAAAACTTAATGGAAAAATATAATTTTACAGAATAAAAGCACAGAAGTTATTTTAAGAAACTAAATGCAATTAAATATTCAAAAACGTCAACCTTTTCTGACAGTAACTTGCACATTTTAGTTTTGGAAAGACATGTAAGTTGTCTGAATAAAAATAGTTCCACTTTTATTTTTTCATCTTTTGTTCTCAGCTTCTAATAGGTGTGATGAAAAATACTTCTAACACTTCTTTATTTTATTATTTTTACAAAATACACCCAGAAAAATGGGTTTAGAGTCAGAAAGGATTTTAAAAACTCTGTTTTTCTTTTCTCTGGTGATACTAAACACTTTTTAAATCTGGTTTTGTAATCATTAAAGAGCACAAGAAGGCTTTCACTGCTTTTATTTGTGCAGCAGTTTGTGCACTATAGGAGTTCCCCCTCTTGTCTAAGCAGCACGATGAGGTCATCGTTATGGGTTTAAATCCAACATGGGCTTAATCTGGGAGATAAGGGCTGGATTTGGATTTCGTGCTGAAAAAGGGTCATGGAGCTACAAACATTTAGACACAAAAGTTTGGCATGGACTCTCCAGTTGTTTCACAAACACACTTCTGTCTGAACCAAAAACAAATTCATCGTGTTTCGCACTGATTTCATGATTTCACAGTTGAGCTGCAGTTTAGTCTTTCATTTTTGTGTGTTATCAACAGGCTTCTGTGATCTTTTGTTACCTCTTTGTTAAACAAACCCTAATCTCACTAAATTATTCAAAATGTTAAGCTTTAAATTAGATTAAAAGACTTTTAAAATCAAGAAAAAAATCAATTTAAAGCAAGGAAATTTGTGTTTGTCAGATTATTTATTTGTTGTAACAATGTTTCTTGACAATACATCTTATGATTGGCAGCACTTGTGGGTACCAGAAGCTCAAAACGTGTCAATAACCACAAAAACAAATAAGCTGTTTGATTTAGGTTCAGCAAATTTGTGCACAAACAACTCAGCTGTACTACTCATCCCACAAATGCATGTTCCTTACAAATGTGGCACCGTTTAAAAGGACAGTTGCTATCCAGGAAACAATGTTACAACAAAAATAATCCACCAAACACAAATTTCCTTACTTTTCATGCTAAGTTTTTTGAAAAAGCACCAAAGGAACAGTACATTTCTTTGAAATTGTGTGCTGTGTGAATATTTTCTTGTATTACCATACCATACTAACTTTATTTGTAAAGCACTTTAAACACCGACAGGACCAAAGTGCTGCACACAGTCATAGAAAACAATACTATCATAATATAGAAAAATAAAAAGTAGTAATCAAATAATACACAAATAAAAAACACAATAAAACAAAGTCAAATATCCCCAATATTGTTATTGTGGATGGGTTTGTCATTTGCTTATATACTTGCAGTCTTGTGTCCGGCATATTTCCATGACATATTAAGAACATGAATAATTGAAGGTGTTGAAGTCTTAAATTAAGGAGTTAAGCTGAAAAATGACAGCATTTTAGCAGATATTATGTCAAGCTCAGAATTTGTATTAAAGATAACGCTCAGCTACTACCACATCAAATTGTAGGTCATTGTTTGGGTGATGCTGAATTATAGCCACTGTGTTTTTTGGAGGTCTGGGGACATGACTCAGATATTAGCTTCACATATTTGTTCATTAAAGTGGAAGAAACAAGTCACCTGGGTAAAAAGTCTCACTTAGTTTCCTCAAATGTCACCCATCTCTTCCTGTCTCAGCGAAATGGGTCAGTAATGATCTGAAACAAGCTGTCATCCATCCTTCATCTCCACTCGGTGGCAGACGGCGCACTCAGATTAAACGCACCAATTACTGCGCCCTCCGCGCGCGCGGCGTTAATAGGGTCTGAAAGGATTTACACGGTGCTGTCCAGTCAAATGCTGCGTGCTTTGGGAATGACATCATTTTGATCACCTCACACACCGGCTGACCCCCCCCCCACCACCACCCCACCTCTCTTGCCAGAGTGAAGTCTCTCTCACCAACAAACCCAGTACCTGAGCGCGTCCCGGTCTCACCGGACTGCGCTCGTCACGACGCACGTGTGCGCTGATAGGAGGACGGTTACGCCGCCTGCCTCCCTCCCTTCCCATCCTTCCTTCTCCTTCTCCTCTTCGGCCGTGTTTACTACATGAGRCCGGGGCTTTAAATTGACGAGTGCGCGCAGATCTCGTCGTTAAAAAGGCAATGGAAAAGGAGGAGGAGGAGGCGTAAGGAGGAGGGGGAAAACAGCGAGCCGAGGGAGCGCGTCTGTGTTTACTGCTGGCTTGATTCAACGCAGCCCAGGCAAAGCTCGCTGGATGCAGATGAAGAGGAGGGGAGGCGGAGAGGGGAGCGTGGATGCTGCTGGTGTTACGCGCAGAAAGGACGTTTTATTTTTGTGGTTTTTACAATAAAACATCAAACTCAAGAGGAAAAGGCTCTCGCGTAACAGAGATGGACTCCCGCTGAGGTAGGAACCATTGATTGGCATCATTCAGAGGAGCAGGTGGATGAAAGAAAAAAAGCTGATACTTGTCTTTATCATTTTAAAGTAAACTGTCAGTTTGTGTTTGACTGGAACGCTGATGCTGTCAGAGAGGCTTCAGGGAGGCGGTGGAGGAAATGATGCGCCTCAGAAACATCCGGGACGCGTTGGCCTGGAACCGAGCGTAGCCTGCTCCTGCAGCTGATACCTCCACACAAACACACTCGGAGAAATAAAGCAGGACCATTAAGAGGCAGGATCAGTCGGATGTGAATGATGGGTTACACCAGATGTGTCCCTTGAGTTGATTTCCTTTTAGAGCAGAAAAATTTAATGAGGAATTTTTTTCCTCAGATTTCAGGGCTTGTGGTTATCATTTAGCTGATGATTCTTTTATTTTTATTTTTTGTAAGACTAATCGGTGGTTTAAGAGTAATAATAGTAACCTTGAAACTACAGGTTGTGGATAATTTTCAGACAGCTTATCAGATGCAGGCATATAAATGTTAATATGCAGGAAAACATAGACTATGAACTTCAGATACGAAAACAGCTGAAGTAAAGCTCACAGAATCCCACTAAACACTGACACTCTGCAGTTTGCATTTCCAAATAACACAATACTGTCTTTTATTTGGATTATTACAGTATAACATGCATCATATTTAGCTGCACAGACAAACCTGCCATGTTTTTGTCATAYTATCAGTGAAAACAGAACATAAGAAGAATAGGTTATTTCAAGAATTAATATGGTTCCCTTCCTGGCTAAGCGTGCACGGTTGTCCTTGGAGACGTGTCGAGCTKTGAAGAAGCTGACGGAGTTCTCTCATAATCACCCTCTGTTTTAATATATACCAGCTRGATTATCAGCTAGCTTTTATGTAGGACACTTTTTTATGCTTGTTAAACAAGAGCCAATCCAAAACTAAACACGTAGCCTGGTGACTTGCGTTATTTACGACACATTTGTGCTCCCTGTGATTGTCAGAGAGACGAAGATCATTTTTTATTTGTGCCATTAATTACAGGCAGTCTTCAGCAGAGGCTCTCTCAGATTTATGGTCCAGACATGAGGCTCTTTTGTCCTTAATACACACACCTTAAATCAGCTGGCACATCTTMTAAAGAACACATTTAGACGCTTGTCTAAGTGTTATTGGTCGAGTTTCACCTGTTTCATCAAATTGCAAAATACAAATCCCAAAGAGGATTAATGTGCTGAAATATGTGGCTTGATTGTTTTCATCTGCACTAATGTTTCTCACTCASTTTGCAGTGTGTAAAGATGGTGTTTTATCCCAATTTGAGGGRGATTTGACCTTTCTGTCTGCATTCACACACAGCTCAGATGTAACTGGGTCAGATTTGGGCCTTCAGAAACATCCAATAAGATTTTTYGCAGTTCCTGATCACTTCCTAACAATATTAAATGTACAAATCACTGCAGTGATTTGAGTTTTCAGCTCTGTTATAATATTCTGCAYGTCCCTCTGTTTTGGTCTCTTTAAGGCTCCCACTGCTTCAATCAACTACTGCAGCCCCTCATGGCGCTTGTTCACGAGCCTCGTGCCCCCTCACCCTCCCTCTCCGGCTTCAACACACCCCTCTCTGACCCCCCGTCTTTTCGCCGCCTCGATGCCGAAACACCCTGCACACCCGAAATGGACCTGACCCCGACCCAGTGTGTCCTCAGAAACGTCCTCTCCATAGACACCGGGGGTGCTCAAGAACCTGGGGTAGGCGGAGGAGGAGGAGGAGGAGGAGGAGGAGGAGGAGGAGAGGGAGGAGGAGAGGGAAAAACTCCCGGACACGACCAGACACCCAGTGATGAACAACAGGAGCACTTTGCCAACAGCGTGCTGAAACTGCACGAGCACGATGGTGGAAGGACAGAGGGAGAGGGCCAGGAGCTGGACACCTCTGTGGTCAGGGGCCAGGCGGACGACACCAGGTTACAGTGCCAGTCCACGGGAGGGGGCGGGGGGTTCCTGGAGGGGTTGTTTGGGTGCTTGCGACCTGTCTGGACTATGATCGGCAAGGCTTACTCCACAGAGCACAAACACGACCTGGACGGTAAGTGTGGGTGAAAGTTATTTGTGTATACACTGTAATCAATAGTGGCTTTTAATTGACTAATAAAAGCAGCCACTCCCCCCCAACTAAATTTTGGTTTGAGGCTTTGATATGCTAATTAAAAGMTCTTATCTCTGGTTTAATTACATTAAGTAGTAGACAGAAAAATGACTCCCACAAAGCACACGTTGTAAACAAACACTTTGAAATAAATGAGCTGCTGAAAAAGGAGACCTATTTCCCTTTGATACCCCCTCATCCCATCTATTTGCCATGCTTGTGCCCACCTCCCACTACCCCCGCCCCCCCCTCCCTCAGTGAGGCTATAGCTCCCTGTGACGCTCTGTTGTTTATGTCTGCAGCCACTACAAAAGCACAGGGCTCCCCTGAGACTCCTCTGCCAAATCTGCTTCATGAATTATGCATGGCCATGTTCTGACCCCGCACCTCTCATCTCTATTAACACAAACCTGACACACACTCAAACGTGCRCCCGACGACGAGCGCGCGCGCACACGAACACATCTGCCAATAAGGGCCGGCCTAATAACCAGCACTGGCATTAACATATAAAGTCAGACGAGACGCCAGACCTGGACAAGAACACGGCACCTCGTATCAAACGCTTTTCACCTCGCCTCGTCTCCCCTCCTCCTTCTGCCTCTCATTGTCTCTCCTTTTCATCGTGTTTTGTTATCACTTCCAGTCCGTTTGCAYCTCGCTGCCCTCCTTTCTGCACAATCACACCATACGCTGATGACTCCACGATGGATATTATAAAAATGGCTTCGAGCAGCTGAATGCGCCTCATACCAATCTCCTTTTAASCTAGAGAAAATCCTAAAACCAGGAAAATATCTTCTGGCAAATGAAAAAGGTGTCTGGTCTTTTTTTTTTTTTAAATTTTGAATAAAAATAGAATTGTAGAGTATTTTGTATCAGATGATGTCTTCATCATTTGAGAGGCTCATTAGAGATGGAGTCCWCAATCAATCACTGGAGAGCATTAATGATTAATATCCTCATTAATATGATAAATGTGTCTGAATGCAGCATGTGCTGCTGTTCTTCCTGGGTCAGCCTCAGCAGGATGTACTGTATATATTTCTGTGTATATTAACAGCCTATCTTCAGCCACGTAGACCCTTGTTGACCCGTGGGGAATCCCCCATCTTCGTTCTTGACACACAAACACACACACCACTATTGCTGCTCTCCCACCACTCTGTTCAGCCTACATTAGCTCCTCAAATCCCTCTCCTTCCTCCAAACCCCTCCTGAGCGTTGGACCCCTGTTTGGCGTCAGCCCCACAATGGCACTAAGCAGGATTTAAGAGGCTGAGAGAGAATTACCCASTGGAGATTAGAGCTTCCCTGTCTGTCTGATCACAGCCCCGGGTCTCAGGTTGGGAGGTTCATCTACAGAACAAGATATCAGCTCAGGTTCTGATCTGCTGAGGCTTCAAGCAAGTTTGAGTATTTCGCTGCAGAATTGTTCATTAGTAAWAATGTTGCTTTCATTCACGGTTTTGCTCTCCACTGACTAGGATGTAAGGTGTTACTTTGCAAGGATTTTTGTGTTTTGAATTAACAGTTTCTCTCCTGTCCTAAAAGTATCCATCACATAGAAACAAATGGGACAAACACTGGGCCTCATGCAAGAACATGTTCGTATTCTTATCCTAAATTTCTCTTACTTTTGTTCGTACGAACA